TGGTCGCTGAAAATTTGATCTTTGTAAACTGTGTGTTGGAATAAAGTTCAACCTTTTACTATGATTACTACCAACACAGATGAACTTTCATGATAAGTGGAATATTTCTCATTCCTTGACAAAGACGTTTATTAGTCCAAACCTTGGGTTAATCCTTTTTTTGTGTGTGATTTGGCAATCACAGAACAATTAGGTTCATCAACATCCAGAAACAAATTTTGCACAATCATACGGGGAAACACATACCTCCAAAGACCAGAACCTCACATAGCTCGAGATACTGGGTGTGAGGGAGTGAGATGCCGACATATCGGCCCCTCCGACCGTCACAGTCCACTGTGATCTTCTGTCGCCCGGCTGCCACGGGGTGGTTCCCGCCGCATTGCGGGTTGGACCGCACGGTGGGAGAGTCGCCGACGTGAACGTTGAAGTTGTTCAGATAGTTGTGATAGCCATTATCGGATCCGCTGAAGACGACAACTGTGTCGATGGCTTGTGACCTGCCCAGGTCTACACGCCACCAGGGTTTGTTCTGGCTGTTAGTGAAGATGCAGGACCCTCCACCCCATCTCCTGTCAGTGTTGCCGTCCACTGCCCGTGAGGACACTCCCCCCGAAGTCGTGCCAGACTGCAGCGTGGGTCGCCCCAAGGCGAGATTGCCACCTGCGAGAAAAGTAAACGAAAAAAATACATCTGCATGGCTGTACTATATCGCGATATCGTATAGGATATAGTCAAGACTTAAGTTATGGTCAATGCGTTCTTTGACATAACACGCCCGAAGCACGTCAAGTGCGATTCACGTTAAATTCACCTAAAGTAAAATATCTGACGTTCAACCTTGTACCAATGCTATATACTGTAGTGGATCACATGTAACTATTCACTGCGTATCTTCCTTGCATCGATATACCCATTTAGGCAAAGAACTAGATAGGCACGGTTCTGGATAGAATAAATGTTACAGGGGATTAAACAAGTTGGGGAAACGTACCAGATGGGATACCCCGGGCTTGGCAGATGAAATACCCGGTGGAGCAACTCGTGTCGTCCCACTTGCCTTCCGCCCCTGGCAGCAAAACGACGCAGTCCCCTCCATTGTTTGGTTGCCCTGGGTTCCAGTTGTTGTAGGAACCTGTGAAAAAGACGTGAATTTTGCAACAGGAAGTGGCGAGAGCAACATGCCTTCTTATACAGTCTCCTTAACTCTGTCTTTATGCTTGTGATGTCTTATCAAATTTAAGGACTCAATTGTAGAGTAAGGTCCAGTCATTGACATCCTACACTCTTCCCAGTATAGTAATAGCAGTATAGTAGAGTGGCAAGGTTGAAACAATGAAGAACAATCAACAGTTTCTGTTACCCAATCTGGTTCCGTCAGCAAAGCGCCATTGTCCTTCAGTGGTTTGATCATCCAGTCCGATGTAGAAGTTGACGTTCGTCCGAACTGCATTCTTCAGCTGGACCAGGAACGCGTTAGTGGCGGCGTCTTTCGGCATGGCCAGCACACCGTCATCTTCCATGCAGGCCTTCAGAAGCCAGCTGCGGTCTTTTTGTGAGGGGAAGGCCTTAAAGCAGTTTTGCTGGAAGCGTTCGTAGCCCGTCGGACATGTAACTTGATTGGAACCCGCAGAGCCTTTTGCAACAAAGGAGATCAAGGGTCAACAGTGCTTATCTATTATATCTAGAACGTGCCTATCTACTTCTACATATATGTCTGAGCGGGTATAGGGTTAGAATCAGGCATGGTTCTGGATAGTCTCCGCGTATCCAAGGACGTAGTTTTTATCCCAGACACGGTTCTGAAAACCCGTATGATACACGTGCCCTAGCATGGATCTGGATAAAGCACTATTCTGGATATCCTTGGACTATCGAGACCCGTGGCCTAGCTAACATGAATCTGTCTTAAGTACTGTTCTTGACAACAACACAGTTCTGGAACTGATAGTGATGTCAGTCATTAGTTGTAATTGCTTGGTATCCAACCGAGTCACTTTTGTTCTTGACCTGTGGGGTTAATAGCAAGATAAAAGAAAGATCAGGACGAAAGTGACTCATCATCTATTAGAGGGGTGGAGAACATCATACCAGAAAGCAGCGACGTGAGTTCGTGTAGTACTTACCAGCGTGTTCTCTGAGCTCCTCTATCTCTTCGTTCGAGGAGCCGTAGACGTTGGAGGCGTCCACGAAGGCGGTGATTTGGTTCAACTGCTGTCGGCGGCCCAAGCGGCACCCTTCGTTTGGACCGGATAGAGAGCGAGCAAACGGCAAGCAGGGCCTCCCTGCGAAGTCAGGGTCGACTGAAGGGATGTTGATGTTGAAACAGCGTTCCTCCTGTTCGCAATTGGTACCACAGGTACAGCGGAGACCTGCAGATGCATGGTTGAAATCAGGCATAAGATGTGAAATATGGAGAGTAATGAAGGTAGGAGAGCACTGCACTTTCAACCGGGACCTGATGGACGATACCGACTTTTAATCTTTCACCCAATGTTAATGTTATGCGTCCATATGATGGCATTCCCAGCCCCATTCAGACAAGCCTGATTCTAAGACCGGAGATGATTCGAATTATTCAGATAGTCTTATTTTTTTTCTGTTGAACACTTAATAGAGATACTTTTCATGTTTTAACGAACCTTGTTCCTGGAAGTTGGGCGTGAGAGTGATGTCGTGGTCCAGGAACTGTCCGAACTGCATGACCATGTGGGTGTTGACCGGGCTGGATTTCCGCAGGTCCTCGTGCATGGTCGTGCTGACCAGCCGCGCGCTGGGGAGGGGGGCGCCATCACGCCCTTTGCTGCGGGGGGTCGTCAGGCCTGACAAAACAGAGTAAACGTTTTAGGAGCGCAGATATTGTATCTAGAACCGTGTTTGTCTAGTTCTATGCCAGAATGGGTTTGAAATTTGGAGCTAGACGTGTTATGTAATCAGGCTAGGAGCCTGACCAGTGGAAGGGCTGCTAGAAGCGTGATGTAGTCAGGCTAGGGGCCTGACCAGTGGAAGGGCTGCTAGAAGCGTGATGTAGTCAGGCTAGGGGTCTGGCGAGTGGAAGGGTTGCTAGAAGCGTGATGTAGTCAGGCTAGGGGCCTGACCAGTGGAAGGGCTGCTAGAAGCGTGATGTAGTCAGGCTAGGGGCCTGACCAGTGGAAGGGTTGCTAGAAGCGTGATGTAATCAGGCTATAGGAGACTGACCAGTGGAAGGGCTGCTAGAAGCGTGATGTAGTCAGGCTAGGGGCCTGACCAGTGGAAGGGTTGCTAGAAGCGTGATGTAGTCAGGCTAGGGACCTGAACAGTGGAAGGGCTGCTAGAAGCGTGATGTAGTCAGGCTAGGGGCCTGACCAGTGCAAGGTCTGCTAGAAGCATGATGTAATCGAGCTAACTTCTACATACCGTCGCCGTATTCTGGCTCCAGCATCCTTCTTAAGGGTTGCTCACTACTTCCCCACAGGGGGTGGTTCCGGTTGTTGCAACGGCCATTTGCCGAACGGAACTCTGGGACGGCTGGTGTAGGGCACGTCGGCTGTCTGCAGATGGCGTCACAAACACTTGTCACGTTCCGAATGTCGATGGCGGACAGCGCTTCTATAGTGTACCGTCTACCGGAACTGAAAATGAAAGATGTCTTTAAAAAACGAATTCAACGCGGTTGGAAAAAAATGGAGTTCACTTTTCGCGCTACCCATAGTGCTCCGCACTCCCCAGCATGCAGTGGTATCGAGAAGGTCTATGCCATGTAAAAAATCAGGACATAGAACTGGATATGCACGGTCCTGGATAATATGATGTCTTACCCGACTAGGAAGTGTTTTGCCACCTTCTCCAAGACGGTGGCACACCTGCTAAGCTCCCTGTCCGTCGGGGTGGACTGATGTTCGCTGGCCAGCGCGTTCAGAGCTCCGGAGAACGGGTCTTCCTCTGGTTCATCACCTGGAAGGCACACGGGGTAAGCTTAGTCACAGATGTGGCATGAGACCCCAGTTTCGACAACTTTGCTGCTCATGTCATGATGTGTTATTAGACCGGTGTCTGAAGAGACCAGAGAAACAGTTTGGACAGATGGATGTTCCAGCCAAGGCTTTGCCACTGCCTGGATGTCAGACTGTCCTTAGAGACAGAATAGAACATAGTGGATGGAGGTGGGGGTGCTCTGTATGGTAAAATTTACTAAGGAGCATGGATTCTGGCACGGTTCTGGATAAGCGTAGACCGTGCCTGAGCATGTTTCTGGATAAATCACGGTGCTAATTACAACACCCACCTGCGGAGACTGCTCCATTTTCTGCTGTTGCCTGAGCGATCGCCTGCTGCAGTTCTTCTTCCGAAGGGCTCTGTCCGGTAACCATGACAACCAGCGGCGCCATGGCAACCGCGGCGAAGAACATCGGGATCAACCTGAAAGCAGAGAACATCTTCGTCACTGTTGTGTCTAATGGTGTGTCTGTGATGTTTTGATTATATGGATGACATCCGCGCGCGCATTATTTTCGTCCGTTTCAAAAAAAAAGTTTTCGACCATACTGTAAATCGTACTAAGTAGCTGCAAAGTGACCAAATATATGCCGCAAATTGAAATATTGAAATACGTCCCAGAATACCAAAATTCATTCCAAAAGGCAAGAAAATGTGAAGGAATGGAAATGAAGAGTCTATCATTCACCATGTCAATAAGAAATTACTCCTTGTGTTTAGTCATTTGTTCAACTTTCATAACCAACTAGATTTCATAACGAAGGCAACATTTTTTGACAAACTTTCTATTCGCACGCTCGCATCACTTGGAATTCCCAGAGGATGTCATCCGTATAATCAAATCAAAACATGGCCTTAGTAATGCCAATGATGAAAATATTAACTAGGGCCGGTATTAACTAAGCCTGCTGTTGGCGATAAACAGTGATACAGTAGGTAAGTCCCGATTTACTTTGCACACATACCGATTTTATCACTCCCACAATCTGTATGGAACCCTTCATCGAATACGGCAAGGACATAATCCTGTAATTACCTTGGTAACACCTGTTCGGTACGCAGGGCTTACTCAGTAATCCACGGCAGGATCTGTCAAAGTCATCAGTGGCCAAATAAGTGCAATAGATACCAGCCAGATAAGTCTTATAATCTCCCCTAAAGCAAAGTGCCAACGGCAACCATTTCCGGACTAACCTGGTATTTGTCACCATTGTCACATCCAGCATGTCGTGCAGTGCATTCATTGGAACAGGTATTTAGAGACAAAGAGGGGTCTGTACGTGGGCCACTGTTCAGTTACTGGATTATCAGGGGATTTTTGCTGTTTGTCTGTATTGTAAGCTCACAAGATGTGGAGGACTTTGTGTTCATAACAATATATGGTGTTTTAGAAAACAACACCTGCTTCTAGGGTTCCCTTTAGTGGACCGAACTGAAGTGGTGAAGTCCATACCAAGTGGGCCTCTTGTAAGGTAGACTAGTCTCAAATACTGGCCTTCCTTCGAAGGAAAGCTCATCTGTGTTGGTAGAATCCTCAGTTCCAACACAAAGAAGTAACTCACCATAAATATTCGGTCGAACCCGTCAACCTTCATCAGATGTATGATGCAATCGCTGATTTTCCTGAAGTCGGAAGCGTGATGACGTCAGGAGTGCATTAAAAGTGTCGGGAAGACGAAATCTCCCACCATTTTTGGTTCAGAGAGCGTTGATGGGCCCTGATGTAAAAAGCCTCCTTCACGCCCCTAACAAAGTAGTCCTTCTCTGTGTCTAGTATTCGTACCTTATCCAGTGTAAGTGTGTGGCCCGGGGGCTCTATATGTACGTGTTGTGAAACTTCGGAAGTAGTAGAACTGGGGCGCCTATGCTCCGAGAATCTAGTTTTCAGTGACCGTTCCGTTCCTCCTATGTATGTTTCAGGGCACGGTTCCCTGAACTTCTGTCCTGCACACTGTATGTGATATACCACCCCACACTTCTGATCTTTCTGAGTCTTGTCCTTGGGTGCCACTAAAAGTTGTCGTAAGGTAAGTTTGTCGTAAGGTAAGTTTGTCGTAAGGTAAGTTTGTCGTAAGGTAGGTTGTCGTAAGTTTGTTTAAAACAAGTTTTTATGCCGTGTGTACAGAAGATTCTCCGTAGCTTTTGATAGATTTTTCACGTACAGTAAGACCACCAGCCCTCGGTTTTGACGCGTGGAAGAGTTCGGATTGTGGTTTGTAACGGAAGTGGATTTGGGGGTGGTTACCTTGTGTACAGCCCACTTAGGGTAGCCACAGTTTAACAGAGATTTAGTAATGTGTTCTTTCTCTGACTGTCCGTCCTGGGGGGTCGGTGATAATAGTGTCGGCTCTATGGAACAATGTACGAATGACACCCAATTTATGCTCGAGTGGGTGATTAGAACTGAAGTTAGAACTCCGTTACTAGATTTTTGGAGCACAGGCGCCCCAGCTCTACTACTTCCGAAGTTTCACAACACGTACATATAGAGCCCCGGGCCACACAGTTACACTGGATAAGAGATAAATATTGGGCACGGAGAAGGACTACTTTGTGAAGGAGGCGATTTACATCAGGGCCCACCAACCCTCTCTGAACCGTGACGGTGGGAGATTCCGTCTTCCCGCCACTTTTGATGCACCCCTGACGTCATCACGCTTCCGACTTCAGGAAAGTCAGCGATTGCATCATACATCTCATGAAGGTTGACGGCTTCGACCGAATATTTATGGTGAGTTACTTCTTTGTGTTGGAACTGAGGATTCTACCAACACAGATGATCTTTCCTTCGAAGAAAGACCGGTATTTGAGACTAATCTACCTTACAAGAGGCCTACTTCGTATGGACTTCACCACTTCAGTTCGGTCCACTAAAGGGAACCCTAGAAGCAGGTGTTGTTTTCTAAAATACCATATATTTTTATAAATACAAAATCCACCACATTTTATGAGCTACCATTACAGACAAACAGCGAAAGACCCCTGATAATCCAGTAACTGAACAGTGGCCCACGTACAGACCCCTCTTTTTTCTCTAAACACTCGTTCCGATAAATGCACTGCACGACATGCTGGATGTGACAATGGTGACAAATACCAGGTTAGCCTAAAATGGTTGCAGTTGGCACTTTGCTTTAGGGGGAGATTATGAGACTTATCTGGCTGGTATCTACTGTACGTATTTGGCCACTGATGAATTTGACAGATTCTGCCGTGGATTACTGAGTAAGCCCTGCGTACCGAACAGGTGTTACCAAGGTAATTACAGGATTATGTCCTTGCCGTATTCGATGAAGAGTTTCATACAGATTGTGGGATTGATAACATCGGTATGTGATAACATCGGTATGTGTGCAAAGTAAAGCGGGACTCACCTATGATATCACTGTTTATCGCCTACGGCAGCCTTAACTTACCTGGCATTCATTATCATGTAACTCATGAATTCATGACATAGACAATTTGCAAACAGTCACCGCTCACGCAAAGTCCCAATCCTTATACTACTTCGAAATACTAATACTTTTTTTGTTGTTGTTGTAAAGTCATGACCGATAGTTCAGTAAGGCCACACCGACTTAATTTTATAGATTACATCCTCTGAAGACACCCAAACTAGTGCGCGAGGACAAGCCGGCACATACTGGCCTTTTGCGGCATTTATGAATAGGCACTGTACTGATATTTTTTAGTTCCATGGAGCTTCGGTAGCCTGGTTGCCATCCTCCGTAGTTACCAACGGCTCCCTGTTGTCGCTGGCTACCATGGACTTGGGAGGATGGCACCCAGGCCGGAGCCATGGAGGATGTGATTTACTTAGAACAAGCGAAAATCAATGCGCGCGCGGATGTCACCCATACAATTAAGTCGGTGTGGCCTAATAGAGAATGTATATATCAGCCCCAAACCCGGGCCGCTGGAGGCTCGTTCCCCGAAGCCGGATTCAGTCTTGCGCGCCGACTGTGACCTAACCAATTCAGAACCATTCGCCGAACCAACCCCAAATGCTGACCAACCTACTTCCAGCCATCCCGACCACTTGCCGAAAACTCGTACTCCATTCTAACCATTTTCCAACTCTGTCCCGAATGAAATATGTAGAATCAGGGACCATAATAAACAGACCAGGGGTCCCCTACGTACATACAATCATGACATGCAGTGAAAGTTCAGAACTTCGTGGAATTTTTCAATGTTCTAGAAAATTGCCTTCTCTTGGGCATCGTGGCATCTATTTTTGTCACTATATTTGTCATGCAAGGAATGGACCTTTCCGATCAAACACCGTAAGCCCCGCCCCTGTTCTATTTCCAACACCTCGGTCAAAATCAGCCCGGGAAGGACCGCGCAGTGTTTGTCGCATGTTCGGGGGTAAAATTTGAAGACAAATTTGATGTTTGGGAGGGCCGGCATCGTTGGCTGGTGTTCGAGGATATGTCAGTTAGTGTTTGGCGCGTTTTCGGGGGTTAACTTTGGAGACGAATGTGGTCCAAACTACACAGCATTTTATCCTAATCCTCTGCCAACCGTGCCGAATGCTTCCGGAGCGTGTGCCGATCACAGAGAATGCGACAAACACTGACGTACCCCGGACACCAGCCATCCATGCCTACCCTTACTTAGCTTTCAAACAACCACAAATGTTTCAAACATTTCGAAACTTTCGACTGACTCGCCAAAGTAGAAGAAGTTAAATTGGGGGTGCGAAAAATGACAAATAACGTTCAGCTTACTTTGCTAACATGACGTCTGTGAGAGCGGTGCCGACAAGAGACGACGCCGAGCCGACGAAAGACGATGCCTAGCCGACGGGACACAACGTCGAGCCGACAGGACACGATGCGAAGCCGACGGGACAAGATGCCAAGCCGACAGGACACGAAAAACGGGCCGACAGGACACGATGCGGAGCCGAGAGGACGAATTCAAGGCAGTGACGGTCTCTCGTCCGTGACACC